GGAAAGATGATTGTCAATTAAAGATGTCAGTTTAGGGAATAATAATGGCAGAGAGATAAAATCTAAATCTCCTTATGAATTTCAAAACTTAAACTTGCAATGATGAAGCAATATTGTGTTGAAGTAGCTGGTGTTCTGTTGAGTATTTTGGTGTATTTGGAATATTTTTATAATAGTTGTCTGAGTGAAATAATTTTATTTTTATGTAAAGGGGGCAGGTATAAGTTTATATTTCTGCAACTATTCATTTATGATTTATGTTTGCAGTTGCATGAGCGATTTGCATTTATTATCGAGTGAATAAAATAAAATGAAGCCGAACATATAGCAACATATAACAAAGTTAACATTAGTCAGATTTAAATGCTGCTTTCAGAATGAATGACTCAGAAACTGTTTTCCCTTTCTAATGCAGACAAAACATTTTTTATAAAATGTTAACTTAGGATCTTTGCATACTTCCTAAAAATAATATCCAGATATTATTTTTAAGTGAAAAAGTCAGACTGAAAGAGATCACTTTGCTAAATCATCACGTTAATAACCCTCTTAAGGTTGAACTGTCTGGAAACCAAAGGAAGTTTCATAAAACCCGATGTTTTATGAAAATGTTATAAGACCTCTTAAATATCTAAATTTGGTGGTGGCAGGCAAAGTCAGGTCTGTCCAGTTGAGGAGGGATGAACGGCATTCTGTGGTCAAGGGTTCACTTCAAGACTTTTACAAGAATCAAACTTAAAGGTTTACAAAATTTGTGTTTTAGACTCATTAATTCAAAACATTTTGAAATATTTCAAAATAAAAAAACTCAAGTAAATGCAGGACTAATCAAGATCAAAATGTTCTCCATTTTAATCAACTGTAAAACATGAGTCAGCTGTCGGCCATCTTGGATGGGCTGGTTGATGAGTCTGTGGTTCAGAAGGAAGCTGAGCGTCCAGCGCCCGTCACAGTTCCTTATTAGCTTGATTAACTCGCTTATGGTCAAAGTTTCATATTATTACTTCTTCAAAGGCTTTTCTGATATTTATTCTTCTCTGACCTGATCTCTGCACTCACATCAAATCAAATACTTTCCAGTGTTAGTGTGACCAGCAGGGGGAGATCTTTCGAAACAACATAACCAGAACACACAATAATATTTTATTAAACAATTTTCTTAAATCATTTCTCTTTTAAAAGCGTGACTTCAGGCCTACTAGTTGGTCCCGGGAAAGAAAATGGTTTATGTGAAGTAAGGACAATTTCAATTATTCAAAAATAAATAAATAAATGCAATGCAAAAGAAAGCAAATTAATAAATCAAACCGAAAAAGCAGACAAATTAATCATTTTAATAATGCACAACAAAGACTAAATGTACAATAAAAACACTTCAATGTCAGGCATCATAGCGGCCAAGATAAGCAAACACATGGATAAACACATGAGCATGGCACAGAAAGGTATCGGTGTAAACAGCAGAGGAGCCAAACACCAACTCCTCATAGACCGCACAGTTGCCCGAGACTGCAAAACCGACACACCAACCTGTGCATGGCTTGGATCGATTACAAGAAAGCCTATGACTCAATGCCGCATACTTGGATCATTGAATGCCTAGAGATGTATAACATCAACAGGATTCTGAGAGCCTTCATTGCAAACTCGATGAGGCTGTGGAAAACCACCCTTGAAGCCAACTGCAAACCACTTGTACAAGTGTCCATCAAATGTGGCATATACCAAGGAGATGCTCTGTCCCCGCTACTGTTCTGCATAGGCCTGAACCCCCTCAGCCAAATTATCAACAAGACTGACTACGGATACCGACTCAAAAATGGGGCCAACATCAGTCACCTTCTCTACATGGATGACATCAAGCTGTATGCCAAGAGTGAGCGAGACATCGACTCACTGATCCACACCACAAGGATCTACAGCACTGACATTGGGATGTCATTCGGATAGAGAAGTGTGGTCGGCTGATCACAAAGACGGGGAAGGTGATCCACAGAAGGAGTCTCACTCCCACAAGGAACAATAGCAGACATAGAGGACAGTTACAAGTACCTAGGTATACCACAAGCAAATGGCAACCTCGATGAGACCACAAGGAAAGGAGCCACAGCTAAATACCTCCAACGAATAAGGCAAGTCCTGAGAAGCCAGCTCAATGGCAAGAACAAAATCCGTGCGATAAACAGCTATGCCCTGCCAGTAATCAGATACCCTGCTGGAATAATTAGCTGGCCAAAGGAGGAGATAAAAGGCACAGATATTAAGACTAGAAAGCTACTAACCATGGATGGAGGGTTCCATCCCAAATCCAGCACCCTGAGACTGTACACGAGCCGCAAGGAAGGAGGCAGAGGACTAGTGAGTGTGAGAACCACTGTCCAGGACGAAACAACTAAGATCCATAAATACATCAGGGACAAAGCCTCAACAGACAATGTGCTCAGCGAATGTCTCAGACAACAGGGAACGGAGGTTGAGGTGCCAGAGATACCATCATGGGAGGACAAACCCCTACATGGGATGTACCACCAGCAAATAACCCAAGTGGCTGATATCAGTAAATCCTACCAATGGCTGGAAAAAGCTGGACTCAAGGACAGCACAGAGGCCCTCATCCTGGCTGCCCAGGAACAGGCCCTAAACACCAGAGCAATAGAGGCCCAGATCTACCACACCAGACAAGACCCAAGGTGTAGGTTGTGCAAGGAGGCCCCTGAGACAGTCCAGCACATCACAGCAGGGTGCAAGATACTGGCAGGGAAAGCATACATGGAGCGACATAACCAAGTGGCAGGCATAGTGTACAGAAACATCTGTGCAGAATATGGACTGGAAACCCCGAGATCAAAGTGGGAAACACCCCCAAATGTGGTGGAGAACGCCAGAGCTAAGATCCTGTGGGACTTCCAGATCCAGACAGACAAATGGTAATGGCGAACCAACCAGACATTGTCGTAGTGGATAAACATCAGAGGAAAGCCGTTGTGGTAGATGTAGCAATACCAAGTGACTGCAACATCAGGAAAAAGGAGAAACTGGAGAAATACCAGGGCCTCAGGGAAGAACTGGAGAGGGCCTGGAAGGTGAAGACCACAGTGGTGCCTGTGGTCATCGGGGCCCTCGGGGCAGTAACCCCCAAACTGGATCAGTGGCTACAACAGATCCCAGGAACAACATCAGACATCTCAGTCCAGAAATGTGCAGCAGTCCTTGGCACAGCCAAGATACTGCAGGACCCTCAAGCTCCCAGGCCTCTGGTAGAGGACCCGAGTTCAGAGGATAAAACCACCCGCGGTGGGTGAGAAGGGAATTTTATATATACACACAACAATATCACTATAGATAATATAGAGGACTATATTATCTACAATCAATAGTTGCCACACAGGCACACCCGCTGGAAGGAAACAAACGCACCCAGCACAACACTTTCATTCTATTGGCTGAGAAGTTTCTAGACGACTGTGCCAACAGGCAGTTCCATGTTTCGTAAGCAAACAGAGTCAGACTGGAGACTAAAATCTGAGTTGTGACAGCTGATCCGCTCAAACTCAAAGTTCCTGCTTCTTTTCAAGAATCCCAAAGGAGCCGACGCTGCGGCAGAAAAACGCTCCTTAATGACACAAAGGTCAGCGCAGTACAGACGCCACTAAGCAGAGCACTTAGGAGTATTAAAGGACAGCAGATGGCAGGCGGTATGCTGGGAGTTGAAGTTCAGCGTCGTGTGTGCTCCCAGGGCTGCAGCGGCAAAACATCTTCCACCAAACCAGGAATCTGTGTCTGCGGTGAGCGAAGCGGCAACTCCGAGTTTGGAAATCCTCAAATTAATTATTCAGCCAACTATTAGACAAAGCCGGGAGCCGCGGATCAGAGTGAGACATTCACACGGGTAAAACCAGGAGAGGTGTGTGCCCTGACTGCAGACACACACTGGCAGACAGAGACCACTCAGTGTGTGTGTGTGTGTGTGTGTGTGTGTGTGTGTGTGTGTGTGTGTGTGTGTGTGTTCTGGACACAGACAAGCTGTGGGTGTATTTTCCCTGAGTTTAGCCTTGCAGGCAGGAGTCTGTGTTTTCTAACCCGGGGCAGGCCGAGTCTTCAGGGACGGCTAGGCTATATTTTTATCTGTTTTTTACAGCTCAGAAACACAACAAGGACTTTATTATCTGTATTTAATTGGAAGCAAAGTGCAGAGCTGCAGGCTGAAATCGGTTTCATTTAAAATTAGAAACTGATATTTAAAGATTCTGTTTTCTGGACATGCGAAAAGTTAAACATCTTTTCTCTAGTTTATTAACAAAGAGTATTTAATTCCACTTTAATCAACAAACACTTGACTGAACTACCGAGGAAAAAAATCAAAAATAATAAAAACTAATAAACAACCGAAAACAGCAAAAATGGACAAATTAGAATAAAACTGATAAATGGAGGCAGTGATGAAAAATTGTTTTGAACTGATTTAGATTTTGTGAATAACTCACTGCAGAACAAAAATATGGAATCTGTTTCACTCAAAATTACATCAGTAAATACTGTTATGAATCCAAAATGAATAAATACTCCAGCAAGTAAATAAACGCTCCCATGAAATAAAAAGAGTAATGGAGAGATGAATTTGTCAATTGTACTTTTGTTTAAACTTTTATTATTTATGTCAGAGTAGGGACTTTAGACAGTGAATTTATCAGGAATATAGATGTAGAATTGTCAGAGCAATTCCTTTAATAATAAATAAAAAACAGACAAAAAATAAGTTTGTGATTTTTATTAACTGGCTTAACAAAAATAAAAGCCTTACACTGCAAAACACCATTATTAAATAACCAAATAAGAATTTTTTTTATTAATACACAAACAATTAATTCTTGAAATAAATATATACTCTTAAAATAAATTAACTGCGGTTGACAAAATAAACTTGATTAGTTATAAAGACAGGCCTTATTTGGGAAATATTTATTTTAGATGTAAAACCAACACAGTAATAACACTGTGGGTTACTTATAAATTTTAATAAAATGTTTTCACAGGAATGTCGCCATGTTGTTCACATTGCAATGCATTCTGGGTAAATGACTGGCTCCTCCAGTGGTGAATAACATTATTCAGGCTTTTTAAAGTTGGCCTTGCTGTGATTGTAGACTCCAGTCCAGAACGGACCTGATGACGTCATCACCCCAGGGCTGAAAAATATAACAAAATATTTACATGTTTTAAGTAATTATGAGTTTTGGTGAATCTATTTTTTAGTTAATAGGATATTAAAGCATATTTAGGCCAACACGTTCAATGGCTCCCTCCACACTTTTCAAGTTGTGAATGAATGAATGAACAAATGCATGCTTGGTGCCGACATAGAGCTGCAGGGTGTGAATAGTTTTATGGAGTTGAACCTTACGCTCTGATGTCATTTCCTGTTCTATCTCCTCTCTGGTGTTAGTTCCTCCCATCGCTCAGCTTTTCTCCTCCTGCTTGTTTGTTTTTCTGCCTCTCTTCCTCCTTCCTCCTCCTCCTCCTCCTCCTCCCACTTTTTATTTTTCTGATTTCTGCTCCGTCCGTCCCTCTTCACATTTATATTTCCCCCCCGCTCTTCACAAACACGCCTGTAACCATGCCCTTTCCCTCTTCAAACTAATTACCTCGGCTACCTTGTACCCGCCGCCCTGCGGGACGACAACAACTGTCAGACCAGTATTATTTTTGAAATTTAAACAATCATCTTACGTGCGCCGCTGCTAAGATCCCGGCCTTTTCTGCGGCTCCGACCTTCAGTAATTAATACCCCAGGGCCCATTATTGGCAAAGCCTTTATCCTCTGGGCCGCGGAGCCTCTAACCCGCTAATTACGGCCAAGCAGCTAATCTCCCGGCCGCCTGATTGACAGCTACACCTATTCTACTAATTGCCTGTTGCAGACAACACCTGGTGAACCGCGGCGCCGGGGGACGGAGCGGGCCGGGCCGGGCCGGGCCGCGGTCCTGGAGGGGGAGGGGTTCTGATGATGATGGGGTTCATCAGCTTCATCAGCACCTCCATGATCTGCAGGACAGACTCACCGACCGCAGTGGACCTGAACCAGTACCAGGATCAGAACCAGGACCAGAACTGCATGGCGTCTCCAAATGTCAGCATGCCCCCGGCTGCTGGTCCAGTTGGTTCTACATCCAGTCCAGAGGACTCGGCAGCCGCCTCCAGCCTGACCCAACCAGCGGCAGCAGCGCCCCCTGCTGGGTCCTGACCGCAGCGCGGGAATCAAACTCCTACCACCGCTCACCATGGGGGGCAGCGCTGAGCTTCACTGCATCATGAAGGACAAGAAGCTGACTGAAGAACGGACCAGATCTGTCCGGTCTGATTGTCGGACCCGGGTCGCTGCCAGCTGCTGGTTTGACCCGGTTCTGTGCTCCGATACCATCCGGAGCTTCAACCGCCTTGGCGGCCCTCAGAGCCCGATTCTCGGCCCCCTGGCTGCCATCAATCGGGCGCAGTAAAGCGAGACGACGTGCCGCTCTCTGCGCCACATTATAGACGATCAGAAATATTCTGGAATGAGCCGAGGTTAATTCCATGGTGTGCAGGATGAGCCTGTGACCCTGTGACCCTGAGTTCATGTGACAGGCGGCGGTTGGAGACTTGCTGTCAGTCTTTTGACGGCCGCTGGGGGGAAAAGGCCGTGGCTCCGGGGCCCAGTGTGGGGCATCAGGCATGATGGTGAGTGGCCCTCCCGCCTGATGCTAATACAGCGCCTGGCCCCCGCCTGCTGCGCTCTGCTATCGATCCATGTAAATAGCATCATGATGTGATTAACATGGCGGCCTGCCGAGATGCAGAGATCACCCAGTGGCGGATCCCCCGATCACGCAGCATGCAACTCAACATCTGAATGATGAGGCTCAATAAGTTTCCTCTCAGGTGTCTGAGGTTTCTACAGCGGAGTGTGAGCTAACAGTAGCATGAGCTGAATCCTCACTGAACATGCTAACAGAGCACGCTGACTGAACAGGCTAACTGAACATGCTAACTGAACATGCTAACTGAACATGCTAACTGGACAAGATAACTGAACATGCTAACTGAACATGCTAACTGGACAAGATAACTGAACATGCTAACTGGACAAGATAACTGAACATGCTAACTGGACAAGATAACTGAACATGCTAACTGAACATGCTAACTGGACAAGATAACTGAACATGCTAACTGGACAAGATAACTGAACAAGATAACTGAACATGCTAACTGAACATGCTAACTGAACAAGATAACTGAACATGCTAACTGAACAAGATAACTGAACATGCTAACTGAACAAGATAACTGAACATGCTAACTGAACATGCTAACTGAACAAGATAACTGAACATGCTAACTGAGCTGCAGAGTAAATGAGGTGGACCAAAGAATGAAGAGACAATTACAAAGGAGACACAACATTGAGCTCTGCAGCAGCCAAGTGGGTCAGCATCATGTGTAAGCACAAAATGTTAGTGCAGTGTTAGCTTGATATATGAGCATGATGCCAGGGTAGGAAGGCCTCACCAAAGACCTCAAAGAAGCAACCTGGGAAGAGTCAAAGGTCATCACAGTGAACTACCAGGTGAGGTCGTTACCTGGCAGTTCCATCTTTGAGATTTCCATATATCTGGTAAACTAGGAGCTAACTGGACAACAGGTAGCTGGAGACGCTCCTTAACCAGGTGTTTCCTGATGGATATCTGAGGTCAGATTGTCCTCAGGTCTCTCCCGCCTTTGTCCCTCTAACTGGAGCAGCACCTTCTCACTGGCAGCAGCGACTATCAGTGCAGTAATCCAGCAGTAATCCAGCAGACTCTCTCCTCTTTTCACTCCCACTAACAAACACTTTGGCTCTGACGGAGCGCGGGAAGACGAGCCAGGGTTCTGTAGGACCTCAGCGTGTGTGTGTGTGTGTGTGTGTGTGTGTGTGTGTGTGTGTGTGTGTGTGTGTGTGTGTGTGTGTGTGTGTGTGTGTGTGTGTGCGCGCAGGCATTGATCTCTGGGTCAAGGTTAATCAGCAGTTGGTCGTCTGACTGAGGCAGGAGATTATTTGTTCCCAGGAATCAACCTGTAATGTTCTAGAATAACGTCTCACACGCAGACTGCTCTCAGGACGCCACGCTGACGTCTCATTGGTCAGACGGTCATTCTTAGACCTGATAGGTCGTTTTAAAACAGTAACCAAGGAAACCAAAGAAGAGCCAGACTCAAACTAACAAGCTAAACTAAGCTAACGGTTCCTTGTCTTCAAGTGCCAAGCTAGGCTAGTCTCAACCTCTTAGCCTGTTAGCGCTTAGGAAACACTTGGTGGAACTGCGCATGTGCTGAGCTCATCGCAGGAGCTTTTCCTCTTTCTGTGCTGCTGTTGTCAGGCCGGAGCGGCTAATGGTAGCTTTACCAGTCAAAAAGGGGCGGAGTCTCAGCAACAGCAGGAGTTTTTAAAGAGACAGAAGCTCAATTTCAAGGGGCGAATTTACAGTCAAATTTCTTTTATGTCATTTTATATGTACAGCAATTTTAAATATTTTTTTAAGGATTTGTCCACTTGATTTTGTTCACAAATAAAAGGTAACACTTTGTCTGACAGGGTGACTCTGATGAACATGGAGGAGTCTTTATGAATGTCTATGACTGTTCATTCGGTAAATAATAACACAAAGTTGACACTTTTAATGGACTTTCAAGGGAACTTTGCATTAAAAGTGTCTTTATTTATCGAATAATGCTTCATGTCAACAGTCAGACATCCTGACTCCTTCATGTTCATGTCAGTCACCCTGTAAAATAAAGTGTTACCAGTAAAATAAAAACATTTTGTCCATCATTGCTACTGTTTCTGATGAGTTTGTGGAGTTATTTCTGTCAGCCAATCAGAGACTCAGTTTGTTGTCAGGTCAGGAAAAACGCCCACTTGTGGTGGATTTAATCTAAAGCAGTAAATTAATTTACACAAGTTTATTTAATTTCTTGAATTTCAGATCAAGATTTTGTTTTCATTTATTTTTAACAGTGTAGTATCTGATATCGAATCCTTTGCCCCATTTAGCTGCTTCTGTTAAATAAACTGATGTGAGTTTGTTTCTCCAGTCCTTGTGGAGTCTGATGCAACAGTTCATCATCCATAAAAGTATGTTTACACAAAAACAAACTGCTGGAATAAAAACCGACTTTCTGCTCTTGTTTAAGGCTCTGCAGCTCAAACACAATTTAACTCTGGCATTTTATATGAAGGTTGTAAATCCAATGGATTCAGAGTGAGGAGGAGGAGGTCCGTCCATCCATCCAGCTCTGAGACACACACACACACACACACACACACACACACACACACACACACACACACACTCCCAGTCTCACAGTGGAATGGGTAAACACGATGAGTGAACTCTGCTCTCCTGCCGCCTCTCAGGACCGGCTGCTCCATGCATTATGCAGCTGCAGATCTTGACCACTGGCCTTCAGCTGATTGGCTGTCTCAGTGTCAAGGTGGGGGGGGGGGGAGAAATGTCCATCTCCTAATGACTGACCACCCCCTCCCCCGACCCCAGCAGACAGCCAGAGAGATCGATGCCGGTGGAGAAACTGCAGGATTATCTGACTACATTGACAGCTTCACTGTCTTTTCTTAGGATTCTAAACATGACAATGGCTGCTGACCGCTCACATGCTGGACATCCATCCTGACTTAATTAAATCAAAGTTTACCGTCTGGGACCTTAGGCAGACTTTGGTTCTGCAGGGTAAACACCTGAAAGTTCCAGAAAGTGTCAAAAAAACAAACAAAAAACCTCAAACTGAATGTTTGGGAGTGGTCTAGTCAAAGACTGGACTCAAATATGATCCATATGTTGCTTAGCTAACTGAACATTTAGGTAACTGAGAATTATATATATTAACTATAAAATCCTGCTGCTGGTGAGGAAGCTGAATATTTAGTTAGCAGGCTAACATGCTAACTCAATATTTAGCTTAATCTTTGTGATTCACCACTTACTTTGAAACTGTGGCACTGATGAATGAATGAACATGTTGAAAATATGACTTTAAAAAACAAACCACCATGCTTTCTGTTACGACAGGCTAAATGGCCCAGATCAGTGCTGTTATTTTTTACAGAGTAACTTTCCAAACGGCCCCATTAGAGGAGCAGGTCTGCATTTATTCCTGTGGTGTGTGATGAAGCGGCATTCAGGCCCAATTGGACCTGAACATGTCTCAGCTGAGCGCGGCGGTTCAGAGGCCAGGCCGATGTTGGTGTCGGTTCCTCTGTCATTAAGGCCGACGCTCCATGATTTATTCAGAAGACAACGCTCTTCCTGGCGGAGGTGTTAGTCACGGGTGCTAATGTCACATTACTTTACTGGCCATTCTGCTCTTGATAAATGACTGAGACGCGCCGTAAAAAATAGATCAAAACCACCGGGATGAAACGGAGGAGGAGGAGGAGGCCGTTAAATCAACCGCCCCCCCTCGGCCCGACAGGCTTTGGAAAATGCCAGCCATTACTGGTTTGCTGCGGCTAATCAAAGCTTCAGAGTGATTAGAGAACAGAAGCAGCTCGTCTTCCTCCACCTTAACAAGCCATTATCCTGGAGCGGCGCCGCCCGGCCCGCTGAAATATGAGCACTTGAACGCACTCGCTGCATCACAGACTGCTGCACAAACCCTCTGAGTAATTAAACCATTTCCTCCAAGGAGGCGAGGACAAGCAACCAGCAGCGGCAAGCTCAGGTCAGGGTTGGAGGACTTGTGGTGGAGGGTTGGAGGATATGAGGTGGAAGGTTGGGGGTCTTGTGGTGGACCAACCTTCCACCACAAGTGGGAGGTTGATCAGGTGTTTAAAGGTTGCGGCCGAGCAGATAAGGGTTGTGGAGCATGTAATCTGATTGGTCCAGTTAGGAGGAGCAGTGGTTCTTCCAAAATGTTCTCCACGAAACAGAGACCCAGCAAACTGGCACCGACCCCAGGAATGGAAAAGCTCTCTGCAGGGGGACTTCCGTTAACTCAGACAATGTTTCCGTTAAAAACTGTTTTAATAGAGAAAACCATCACACAGCTAAATCTCTACAAACGTCACCCTCTAGTGGTTCTGGGTGGAAGGGCATGGAAGCATCTATTTACTGACTGGAACTCCTGGATAAATCCCTGGATAATATTTTATCCTCTTTTCCTCTCAGATTTTAAAGACTTTTTGTTAAAGCTGAATCAGTATGTTCTCTGGCAGGTTCTGTTGTTCTTGGAGAACCCGCTAGCAGCCCGATCTTTGCTCATCATTAATCCTCTCTGCAGGTTCTCTCTCAGAAGGAGATGTTTGCTGAAGCAACCCTCCGTCTGGAGGCGCTTCAGAGTTTGGAGGAAAGAAGTGGTTTTAATTGGATCTGGCAGCTTTTCCACTGATGGATGTCAGGTGGAAACAAGCAGGAATCTTCACAGAGGAAACAGACTGCTGCAGGTTTTTATTAATCGTCTTCGTCTAATTTAGCAGAGCGAGCTGTCGTTGAATTGCTGAGACTCGTCCTGCTACGGAGTTTTTTCCACCACACAATTTATCTTTCTGGCTGCTTTAAGCCTCCAATTTGTAATGAGTTATTGGGCTGTTCCCCAATATTCCCCAGTGATTGAGCAGGAAGTATTCGGGTCGTGATTTATAGATGTTAATTGTGGAGCTCACAATGGAGAGGAGGAGGAGCGAGGAGGAGACGCACATCTGGAGGAGTCATCACGGCCGGAGCCAAGCTGCATTCTGGGAGGGAAGGAAAAGGAGAGCTGAATGTGAACGACTCGCGGGAAATTTTGCGGCGTCCGGGGCCGCAAAATTCCCCTAGTCAGGCTGGCCCCGGGGCCATGCAGGAGCCCCGGATGCTGTGGGGTCAAAGGTCAGAATAAGAGCAGCCAGCATCCTGGCAGACCCACCGTATGCTGGACACTGACTGTTCAGACTTTCTCTTGCAGGTGGGATGGGTTCATCTCTGACGGACCCAGAAACACCAACTGCAGTCGACATCACTTCCTTTGCGCTTCCTGATGCAGCCCTCCCTGGAAATCCAACACTTTGCTCCTTCAGACTAGCCAACAGTAATTAGCAATCAGCTGCTGAGCTTGTTATAGGAACTGCTGTTCAGAGCAATGCTGGTAAAAACATTAAAGGGTTAATAAAGAAGCCATGTTGGGATGACTTAGTGGAGGCGGAGCTTCAGGAAGAGCAGGGCGTTAAATCAGGAAGTAAAATCTGATTTAAATCATATTAATGAGCTCATTATTTCTTTATTTAACTGATTATTCTCTAATGATCAGCGGATCAGGTTTATCTTGCTGATCGACTCCTTGCACATCTAGCGTTTGCTTTTCCTGAGTAGGAAACAATCCCTCCAACACATCCTGGTTCCGATCTCAGCGACACAACTAACAGAACGACCCAGCAGCGGCGGCAGGTTCCCAAAAGCCAGAGGAAGGTCTGAACCGCAGAGTTTCCCAAAGAGCCGGACGACTCAGCAAACAGAGCAATGCTTCTCCCAGTGAGTGAAGCTCAGGTGAACCTCGACCTCATCCTGGAAGCATGCAGAGGCAGCAGGAAGCCAGCAGGACACACACCGACTTGAGTCCCGTTTCTCTGCACAGGAACAACCCGGGTCAAAGCAGGTCAGAACCAAACTGAACCTGGTCCAGCAGGATCCATTGTTCATAGAGAACTGGACCCAACTGAGTCAGAACCAAGACAAGCGGATCAAAATGACGTCAAACATTTTATGGAATGTAATAAAATATTATGAAACTTAGAAAGCATTTAGAATAGCTGCTTATTTTATTTCTTTTTAATCAGATATGTTTAATAGCTATACAGAATTACTTATCTACAGTTGTAGATGTTCTCTCATTCATATTTTTATATAATTTTTTCATATTTGTGGGAATGTGCGCCTGGCCTTCTGCTGACGCCTGAATTTCAGCATGGATGGAACTTTCTGAAATTTAAATGTTAAATTTTCACCGCAAAGCACATGAAAAGTTTTAAAACCTTCAAATGTTTCTTGATTTAACATGCAGTTCTCTGCTCAGCCACTAGATGGCAGTCACTGCCTCACACTGGGTCTTTAAAGGTCAAACATGATGTGTAAATGTCAGGTTAACAGATGTTGAAGTAAAATAAAAACAGTTGTTTCTCTGGCGGAACCGACTGGATCGGGTCCAACGTGGTTCTGGCTGCTTGTGTTGGACCAGAACCATTAAACAGCAGCTGTTCCCACCATGATTCCACCTTAATTAGAGAAGAGAAGAA